AGTACCCTCCCCGAACCGACCTCGACCTTGTATCTCGATCCGACTGTAGCGATAGGCGGAGGAGACAGACGCACGTGCTCGTCCCCGCCGTCCGCCAGAGAGAGACACCCGCATCCTGCCCTGGCCACTCCGACGCTGCGGGCTCGGGAAAGGAACGGGACTGGAGGGAGAGGGAACGGACCGGGTGAGGATGAATCGAGAATCTCTGAGATCCAGCGGATCTGGAGGATGTCTCGGGCGCCGCGGCCTTCTCAAAGAGTTCCGGAACGCTCTGAATGCGTTTCAGAACGCTCCGGAACGGATATATCCTCGTCCTGGCCCCGTCCGATGGAGGGAGTCTGCAAAGAGGGCAGGATCAGTCAGCATCAAATCGGGAAGCCATACCGGATCGGAGCGTGCCTCGGATGGGGATGCATCGGTGCAGAGTCGGAGTCGAATCGGATCGGCCGCGCAAGGATGCCCAACATCATCTTGCAAGCATCGAGCCGCATCCGATTGCTGAACATCGAAATCGAATCGGATCGAGACTGGCAAAGTCGCAATCGAATCGGATCGAATCGGAATGGACCCTGGAGCAAAGGGAGAAAGAGAACTCCTTGGTTAAGGGCGGCTATATCCAGCGAAGGAAGAGGGAATAAACGTGATCATACAAGGCCATGGGCTGCGGAAACTTTGAAAAATTAAGAACCTAATAAACAATTCCTCCTTCTCCGTGCCTCCCTCCCTGCTACTCCTCCAGGAGGACGCCCTTTGCTGTGCGCCCGAGACCGGGAATGGGTTGGGGCCCTGGCTCAGCACGAACTTCGTGGCTGGCTGCTTGTAGATCGTGCTGAGGGTGTTGAACTCCTCGAGGATCCGCTCCCTAGACTCGTTGTCCATCTCCTCCTGAAACTCCTCGACGACCTTCCCAGCGAAGCAACGTGAGAACACGGCGGACGTCTTTGTGGCTCTACTTCGGGCCCCGGGGCTCCCACGAATCGATCCAGCCCGAGGAATCCCGCCAGAACCCAGACTTTCCGATTTCATCTGATCTTGTCTCTGGCCAGTCAGAGTGCACCCAGATCCCTCGACCCGCTGTTGTTTTTCGCCCCTGGTCGGATCTTCACTGCTGTGATTCCAGGGGGCAAAGAGTTGTTGGAAAGATTGGCAGCAGTGGCTCTTTCGCGACGCCTGGAGGTCTCTGGGTGCTCTGGAGCGCATCCTGGTCAGGACTTCAACGCGGATCAAGCCGTAGCGACGAGGACGTCCCGTGCTACCAAGAAGTGCCCAAAACATCGACGACCCCGCAACGCAGTTAGGTATCCTGGTAAACCCTCGGGGGGGGGAAGAGGGCGAATGAGGAGAGCTGAGGACGGAGGAGGAAGTGAAGAGGAGAGAGGGGAGGTCGGGAGGAACGATCCCCAAATAACCCCCTGTGAATGCATTGGTGGTGCGACATCGACGACAACGACGACGACGTCAACGTCATCGATGAAAGCTGGATGTCTCCCAGATGGTGTCCGATTCATGGGGTCGGAAAATCATGTTTCATTGCCGATGCATCGGCGCTGTCGGCGTGGAGCCGGGGCTCCACATCCAGCCGCGTCGGCGATGCATCGGCGATGTGGAGCGATCCTGCGACCCCATCTGCTCGAATCCCATGTGGGAAACCTAACAAAACAGGACCTCCTTCGGAGCGCAGATCACGCGCCGGGCCTCCTCGGGGGAGTGAAGCAGCAACCTGTAATACAGCATCGCCCGGTCCCGCACGTCGGGGTGCGAGGACTCCTGGATGGCCTTTGCGGGACGACGAAGACGACGACGACGACGACGAGGACGACGACGACGACTAAGACGACGACGACGACGACGACGGTTTGGTGCGCAGGAGAGAAGGCGGCCGGGAATTCGGCGGCGCGCCTGCGTCCAGTCTGGTACACCCGGTCGCTATCATGGGCAGCGGGGGCGCGGGAACCGCCTTGAATAAATTCCCGCGAGCAAAAGTTGGCCACTGTTGGCTTCCATGGGCCGTAGGGCCGTCAACCAGATTTTCCCAATTTGAGTGGAGAGGACACATTGCTGTAATAATGCAAGGGACATCTGATCGACTGCACTCGCGGTGACTGAAAATAACGGGCCTTCCAAAAGGGGTCCTGACCTCTTGGGGTCAACGGTATGACGCATCATGACACACGTGGTCAGGAGTGGGCGATGGGACCATGACGACAATGACGAGGATGTTGACGTTTTTGCCCCTCTTGGGCGTTCGAGGGTGGGGGACCCTTCGGCGCCACGGCCGCATCCGCCTAGAACTCCAGGCCAGGACACGCTGCGCGAGGCGTCCCAAGAACAAAAAAAACAACCATCTAATAAAGCGGAGAAAAAGGAGGAAGAACAGCCGGGAGGACGGAGGAGAAGCGGGGAGAGGAAGAGGAGAAGGGGGGTAGGAGTCCAGGAGTCCTGGAAGTGCGCTGCGCACACCGCACACAGGCGGGCCGCAGAGGCACGCAACCAACACCCCCCAACCCCCCTTGATGGGAGAAAGTGGGCCCGAAGGCGCGCGCACCGAACAGGGGATAGGCAGCTATCTCGGCGCCCAGCGACTTGCCTCCAGCCGAGATGGCGCGCTGCGTAAGGGGGCGGGCGGTTCACTTCGCAACTGCGGGGTGCTTCCCGTTTAACAGCCCCTGCCCAATCACCAGCTGCCATACGCAACTGGGTGTGTTCCCCAAGGCGACTGGGCACAAGGCCACCATGGGACTTACCGACCAAATAGCCCCGCCTCACAGACAAATGCGCAATCTCCCGTGCCTGGTTCCCACTTCCAGGTCACGGGGCGTGGCTAGCGCCGCTGCCACTGGCAACATGCCCCCAGTCGCCACATGCAGTCGACTGCAGTCGACTCTGACGGTGTGCCCCAAGGAGTGTGTTTCGCTGACACCATGAGAGCAGGTGTCAGGCCCCCAACCTCGGGGCGGGGGGGAGGAGGAGCATGGAGAGGGGGAGGAGGAGGCGGAGGCGGAGGCAGAGGCGGAGGAGGAGGAGGAGGAGGAGGAGGAGGAGAAGGAGGAGGAGGAGAGGGGGAGGAGGGAAAACGGCAGCGAAGAAACGAAGCATACAACCACGAGGATGACCTTCGCCAGGAGGCGCCCCAGCATGCCCTGCATCTCTGGGGCCCGGCAGAAGAATAGCTTGACCGCGGCGGTCAGCATCTCCAGCCACACTGCCCCGCTCTGCTCGTCCAGGAAGCTGTCGATCATGGGCTCCTCCGAGGGCGGCGACGACGACGAAGGAGGAACTCGGGAGCGAAGCAGGGACAACCACAACCGCTGGGCTGAGGGAGCCCTCCCTGGCGACCCACCAAAGGCTGGCACCGATCCCACCCAGCCGTGATGACATGCGCGCTGCGCGCGGCGCCCGATTTCACGTGCCGCGCGCGGTCATCACCGATGGCGGGTCAGGGTCGCCCGAAGGTGGGGTGCCAGGAGCGATTCTTCGCTAGAAAGGAGCGAAAACCATGTCCGTGCCTGGTGTGTTGCTGGTGGGGAATAAATAGAGGGGGTTGGGGGGGAGAAACGTGCACCTTGCTTCACGGTCTGGATCAGATGGACAGATACGTGACCCCCTGGATGCGTCCCAAAGTGGGACATCCGCACACAGCCTCCCTGTATCCATGCAGGCCACGGCCGAGGAGCCAGGGCCGAGAGGCCGCGTGGACATGGACGGGTTTGCCGCCGACGAGCTCCAGCAGGTACGGAGCATCCTCGATGAGAAGGCCGTACTCGCCCAGGATCCAGAGCACCGCGCACTTGCCCTCCGGCTCCGCGACGATCTTCATGCACCGCTCCACGGCCCCGGACGCCCGCTGGAACTGCTGCGGGTACTTCCGCACGAGGTCCTTCATCACCACCGCGGCCTCGGTGCTGACGTAGTCGATGTCCAGCTCGAGCAGCCCCGTCAGCGACGACACGATCATCTCCGCCATGGCCGGGGCGGGCACGAAGGGGCGGCGGGAGGAGGCTGGAGGGCCAGCCGAGCCGCGGGCGGCCCCCCCCAGCTACATGTGCGTCGCCCGCTCGGGGGCTCCCCGGAAGCTTCTCGTCGGCACGGCCGCCTCCGCCCGCAGAGACGGGCCCGGAGGGCCCCGTGAGGGGCCCATGGATCGAGCAGGGACCCACCGTCCCGGCAGTCCTGTGGGCCTATCACGAAATGTTCTCAGAACGCCAAAACGCTCTAAGGACAATAAGCGGCCTTGGAACAGGACGCTCTCAGCCAGAAGTGTCTTGAGAACATGCGCCGTGCAGACCACAAACGGGTTCTCGGAACCTTCTCTGGTGGGCCTATAAGAGGCCAGCCAGGCCGCCCCGCCGCTGCCCGAAGATCGAGCGCTTTGAGCGGACCTCCTCCGAGGGAGGTCCGCTCAAAGCGCTCCTCCGCTCGGAGGTCCTCCTCGAGGGAGGTCCTCCGAGCGGACCTCCTCCGAGGGAGGCTGGGCTGCAGAGCCGCCGCTGTCGCCGCCAGCCCTCCTCCGAGGTCGGTCGGCGCCCCCGCGGCGCGCAGCCCGTGCCCCCGCCGCGCCGCGCCTCCGGGCGCCGAGGTGCGGCGGCCAGCGCCGAGGACCGTGCCCGGGCCGGCGGGGGGGGCGAAAAGCCCGCTGCGCGCGACAGACCCGGGGCTCTGTGGGCCGAGGTCGGTCCAGAGCCCGGGCCTGCCTGGCTCTGCAAGATCCTGCAGGACCCTGCACGCAGGCCCGGGCCGACGCCCGGGCCCTGCAGCAGCCCGCAAGACCCGGCGCGCCGACTGAGCCCCGCTTGCATGGACCCCTCGAAGCTTTTTTGAGCCCCGGCAGATGCCGTGACCCCCTTCCCCGGTTCCCCCCCCCCCGCCCCCTTCGTCCGACCCGAATTGTCGGCACCCGCACCGCGACCTTCCCGATGGCACGGATGGCGCGGCGAGCGATCTCCGCATCCACATCGGTCACGTACTCGCCCAGCTCCCCAGCGATCGGCTCGGCGCTGCCCTCGTCGGCCAGGGCGGTGAGGATCTCTATCTTCACGGTCTTGATGTACGAGGGCTCGTTGTATCTGCAGTAGAACTGCTTGAAGTCGGGAGCGAAACATTCGACGCCCGCCTGGCTGCCGTTCACCAGCGCCTGGATGTGCGCCAGCACGGTGTACGCCAGCTCAGGCGTCGCCCCCGCCATCAGGGTCAACAGCGGGCCCTTGAGTCGCCTCAGGACCTCCCCCTGCAGGTCAGGGCGATTGCTGGTCAGATCCACGAAGATCTTGGTGACGGCGAGCACCACCGCGCTGCTCGACTGCTTCAGGAGCGCGTCGAGGATGTTCATGATGTCGAACATCTCCCCCTCGTCGGCGACCTGGTACTTCGTGAGCAGTCTCAGCACCGCACACTGCCCCCACTCCGAAAACTGGTTTAGGCGATTCAGCATGTTGGTCACCAGCTCGCGCGTGGGCTGGAAGCCGCCCTCCTCCGCGAGCACCTCGTCCACGGCGTAGATGGCGTTCGCGACGACGTGGGCGTCGCTGTCGTGGATGAGCCTCTGGAGGGTGGGGAGGAGGTCGGTGTCTACCACCGCCGACTTCGAGATGTGAAACACCTTCACGACACCGATCACGGCGGTTTTCCTGGCAGGCGAGGGCACCGCATGCGATCACAAACCTCCCGGAACTCCGCGCGCAGCTCTCCCCGAGAGCGGCCTCTGGGCCCGCCCCCCTGGCGAGGAGGAGGGAAGGAGCGCGCCAGGGGTGGGGGGGGACGAGCGCCGATCCGAGAAGTCCGAGCGGAGCTTCGCAAATGTGTGCCTGTGCCATTTTTTCTTCGCCGATGTCCTCACGTAGCCGTTCACGTCCTCCATCGCTCGCTGCACCGCGGGCTGGAGGTACTCGACCATATTCTGAAGGCTCAGTGAGCACAGAGACCGCAGCGCCAAACCTGCAGGACAGGCCCACAACGTCACCCGCTGGTCATGATTCGCGATGGTGCCCGTGACTGGCCCCGCCCCCCCCCCTCCCCTCCCCTCCCCGCCTGGTCACGTACGTCACGCATTCTTCGATGATGCTCAGAACGTGTGTTGGCCCCACCGTGTGTTTGCACATCGAGGCCCTTCGACACGACCAAGGCGATGTAATGATCCACTGATTGGGCTGGAGGGGGCAGACACACATTGGGCTGGCACACGTCCTGAGAAACATCGACTTCTGCGCCAGCGCCGTCTGCGAATGGGCCACTCCTAAGCCTCTCCAGACGGCGCCGGCGCGAATCGTGAGGTGACTGCCCCCTGCCCCCCGCCGATGCCGTCCCCCCAATCACGCCTGCTGTAGCCAGGAAATTAAAAACTGTCTTCTTTTACAATCAACACGTCAACGTGTTCTTATTCGGCGTTTCGACATTGGGCGGAGGGGGGGGGAGGGGGGTGGTCTGGCTCCAGACCTCTGCTTAGTGCGACTGTCTGGAACCGTGCGTCCTCTGGGGGAGACTCCACCTGCCCGAAACAGGCGCCAAAAGCACCCCAGATACTCCACGGGGGGAGAGGGGGGGGGGCGAAGGCCCGCCCCGATCGGCATAACGATGAATGAACAAACGATCACCACTGGAATGCGACGACTGGGAACACTCTTCGTAGCGGGGGAGACAGACTCGAGTAGGCAAACCGTGGGCTCGGAAAAAGGCGCTCCATGGGATACCACTGGCTCCCGTGTGGATCACGGGCGTTCGCAGGAACTCGCGGGCGATCGCAGGTACCCACAGGCGATCACTCCCAAGCGCACGCAGGCGCGCAGGATAACCAACAAGAGGACCGACAAGCAATGACAAACGCTCACGATGGCCCACAAACGTCCGTAATCAAATTCCCAGCCGTGTGTAGCGAACGGCCTGGCGCCAGGTCTCAACATACACCGGCAAACCTGTACCTTTGAGAGCACACACAGCGATCGACAAATGCAAACAATTGCTTCGGCTTCGGGGTTCTTGTTCCTGGACTGGCCTGGAACTGAAGATTCGGGGCTTCGCGCGTGAGCAGGAACAGGCAGGCGCATGGAGGGGACGCTGCCCAAAACTACGACCTGACCCGAACCACGACTGGCATTTCACCTTTGATAAGGTTGCTTGCGCACTGCAATTTCGCTTGCACGGACTCTCTTGATGTTCGTTTCGGACTCCTTGCTGTAGCTTGAGCTTCGGATGCTGGACTTTGCGTGCCTAGGGAGAGTCTGACATGGTTCAGGGAAGGCATGGTGTCCAAAACCAACCATGGCCGTTACAAGAAACGCATTTGTGGTTGCATACTGTGCACTGCAATTGGTCTTGCAATTCGGGATCCTTGTTTGAGCATGACCTTGGGAATCTGGAATTTGCACGTGAATCAGGAGAGGGCTGGACGGGGTCAGGGAAGGCACAATTTCCAAAGCCAACGACATTGATTGAATGAGATCGATGCTGCGATCGGTGGTGAGATCGATAGGCTAACCGATCGTGAGATCGACTGTGAGAATGATAGTAAGGTCGATGGTGGGATCGATGGGTAGCAGGATCGATAGGTAGAGAGGGAGATCGATACTGAGGTCGATGGAGAGTTCGAAAGAGAGGTCCATAGTGACACCGATTGTGGTATTGGTAGGAAGGTAGTAGATAGAGAGTGAGGTCGATAATGAGACCTGTATATACATCGATATTGAAACCGATTGTCAAATCGACTGTGAGATCGAATGGTAATGGCATCGATCAATAAAACATTTCCAATAGATCTCCGGCAGGGTTCCGTCAGAGATGCCGGATCTCTTGGGCGCGGCCCTGGTGGCCTCCAGAGAGATCCAAGAGCCGCCAAATAGGTGGCAGGCCCCACGGCCTAAGGCCAAGAGCGCTCCAAGACGGCCCCAGATGGCCTCAAGATGGCCCAAGATGCCCCTAACACGCCCCAAGAGGCCTTCAAGAGGCGTCCCAAGAGGGCCCCAACACGCACAAATCATTGATTTTCAATTCGAGGATTTTGGGGTTCTCGCCTTTTGAGCTGCTCGACGCTCCCAAACGGCCCAAACCACTCCATGGACCGCCCCAAAACGACTCAGCAGCTTTCGAAGAGGGCCCCAAAGAGGCCCAAGCAGGCCCCGGGACCGCCCAAGCGGCCTCCAAGACGAGCCAAGAGGCCTCCATGACTGCTCCCAGAGAGGGCCGGGATTGCGCACCCGAACGGACATGTCGAGCTCGCTGCCCCGAGATGCCCCCGGGAGACCTCCGGAGGCCCCCGAAGAGGCCTCAAGAAGCCACCTCAAATCCCCCAGGAAGCCCCGAGGGGCTCCCAAAAGGCCCCAACATGCCGTCACGAGGCCTCCCCAGAAACCCCAACAAGCCTGCCAAAAACGATTGCCCAGACAACACCGCGAAGACCCCCCGAAACCAACTCCAGTCACTGCGTCACACCCAACCCACCCCACGCACCCCTCAGGAAATGAGCCATCGCCCAGCCGCGCCGCCTTGACAACGATCGCTCGGGCAATCGACAGCAGTGCGACGATATGGGTCGGCGGATTGAGCGAAGTGATTAAATAGCATAGCGCGTTCTACGCTCTGGTCCCACCTCAGGCGCTACGGAATGCGAGCTGTTCGCTTCAAGCAGCTCGGAATAGTCCAGGCGCGTCCAGAGAGGTACTCAGTGGGGACCAAAGCGCTACCAGACTGGGAAGGAATCGTCTGGTCGGCCAAGGGCCTCCCGTGTATAGACGCCCCAACTTTCCAGCCGGTGGGAGGAAAGCTGAGACGTCCGTACACCGAGTGTCACTCGCCGACCTCCTTGGCCCCTTGGCCGAACAAAGGAGGTAGTACATACATCGAGCACCTCCGACAGACGCTCACTGCAGTCCACCAGCACACGCAGGCGTTAAGAAGCACAAGCGCTCACAGGCAACCCATGGGGAGCAGCAGAGGCTAAGGAGACTCAGCAAGGCAAATGTGCTCGAAACGCCTTCTTGGCAGGAAGCCATGCCCGAGGGATCTCCGATCGAACAAACACAAGAACAAGAGGGCAGGGGAGGGGGGCCTTCCAGCACTTAGCGATTACCCCACACGAAGCGGGAGGATCAGGAAAAGGACGATCATTACGCAGAAAGCCACTTTGCGTTGTCGACCCACGCTTCGAAGAAAAGAGAAAACTGGCGGCTCTCCCGCCCGGCCATATACTCCACGAATCGAGGCCATGCCCCCCCGCTCCGTCTGGCCGGCCTTTCGTTGGAGGCGGACGCTGCCGACGCGACAAGGAGTCTACACGAAGCCCAAAGGCGGCGACGGTTGTCTCGACTGGCCCTCCTCCAAGCATTTGACCCCAAAGACCGCGGATCATAGGGTCGTCGTCCCGGCAGTCCTTCTGCAGCGTGTTCACCGCAAGGATGGCCAGGTCCGCGTTGCTCTCCGCATAGTTCACAAGGTACAGGTACACCATCTTCTTCTGGACGAGGTCGTTGGTGGCACTCGCCATGACCATCTCGCTGAAGAGGGGGGACACGTCGATGCCCAGGGTCATGTAGGCTATGACCTGTGCAGCCGGAGCGCAAGAGGTCTCTCTCGGCGGCGAGCGAAGGGGGGGGGGAAGGAGAAGGAGAAGGCCTTCTCGGAAGCCCCGGAAGTCCCCCGGCCAACTGAGAAGTGTTCTGAACCTGCCCCGAATCACAGGAAATGTTTCAGAGGGCGCGAGGGCTTCTGAGAAGTCTCTTGGATGCTCGTTCTGGAAACCTTCCTGGAGCCACTCGCTCCACTCGTGCGTCGAAGCTGCGTCGAACGTCAGTCGAGTTGGGTCGACCCTGAGTCGAACCTGAGTCGAACCTGAGTCGAACTTGAATCGAACTTGAGTCGAACTTGAGTCGAACTGGGGTCGAACAGATCCGTTAGGTGGGCTCCAGGAAGGTCCCCGAAACGAACATCGAAAGCCTCGCCGCCTTCTGAGCTGGCCTTCTCCTCCTGAGCCGCCTTCCGAGCCGGCGCCGCCGCGGAGCACGGGCGGCGTCTCCCCGAGGTGTCTGGAGGCCACCGCTGGCGCTCCCCCCAACCATGCGGTGGGGCGTGTCCTCCCACTGGCGGCTTCTGGACGACACTTGGAAACTAGTGGCAGCAAAAATCCCCGAACCACAAGCAAGCATACTACAGGGCAGTTTTTTTATACATAAGATTATTTTTTATTAAAAAAAAGCATTGGATTGTTAACTCATGGTTAATGTATGAATGAATTTATGCATGAACTCATCGTTGTTTTTAATACAAAATCCCTGCATTTGTCATACATGATCCGCACGCGGAGCATGTATCAAAAACGGCACTATAGAAGCATCGTCCCCCGCATGGTGTGTTTCTCCAACTCTGTTCGAATCTATTCCTCCTGCAGGGGGACTGGCCCGGCTGAGCCCGACCACCCCCGCTCCTCGATCCCCGAATCAGAATCACAATCAAAAATACTAGAAGCATCGTTTCTCCATCTATGTTTGAACGTTTTCCTCCTGCAGAGGGACAGGCCCGACTTAGCCCGACCACCCCACTCAAGGAAACAACTGTACGATCTCGAACTCTCCTGTTTTGGGTGCACCTAGCCCGGTTGAGCGTGCTTCAATCGAGGGCTCTCCCTCTCGACACCCTGAGCCAAGGACGCATACGGAAGAAGACAATGGACAAGACATATCAATCTTCGAATATATTCTCCTGTAGAGGGACAGGCCCGACTTAGCCCGACCACCCCCGCCCCTCGAGCCCCGTCCCGGGGCCCCGGGCCGGCCCGCCACAGATCGGTGGCAGGGCTCGCCACCTGTGGGCTCCGTCCTGCCGCCGGCGGCGGCTCGGCCGCCGCCGTCGTGGACCGCTTCGTGGCCGCTCTGGAGGCTTGGAAGTTCGGGGGCCCCCAAACGGTGTGGTGACCACACCGTGCGGTGAGTCGGTGGGGACTCGGGGTCACCGCACGGTTTTGGGACTCGGGTCATTCTCCGAGGATGTCTCGGGCGACTGAGGCATCCGAAGTCTCAAAACCGTGCGGTGACGGACCGTGCGGTGAGGTCTCTTGGGGTTCCGAGGTCACCGCACGGTCTGTCACCGCACCGTTTCGGGACTCAAACTGGGCACCAGCACCAGAATTGGGGGGGGCCGCGTTCCCTGGGGGAGGATGACGGTGTCGAAAGAGTATCGCCTCCCCGGGCTCGACGCGTGAAAACCTTCAAATGTTCGTACTTTCTTGGTGCTCGGAATTCTTTCTGCTGGTCAAGGCTAAAGTAGGTTGGAACATCATACACCGAGATTGGGGTCAGCTTCCCTCGGTGGAGGCACACTGCCAATCTTGGTGTTGGTGCCACCCTCTGGGCCTCCGACCGTCGCCTCTTTCCTACGAGGATCGTCCCCTGGACCTCTCCTGCAGCGCGTCCCGACCAGGTTCCCGAGGCGTCGTGCTCAGGGGAGGCACAATCTGTAGGGGCATACGAACAACACATGGGATTGGAGCCACTCCTGTGGCCTTCTGAGGCCTCCTGCTCCTGGGGATTCCTGGGGCCTCCTGGTGCCTTCCGAGGCCTCCTGGTGCCTCCCGGCGCTTCCTGTGGCCTCCTGTGGTCTCCTGTGGCCTCCTGTGGCATCCTGGAGCCTCCCAGGGCCTCATGGACCCTCTTGGGACCTCCTGGAGTCTCCTGGACCCTCTTGGGGCCTCCTGGGGCCTCCTGGAGAGCCTCCTGGAGAGCCTCCTGGAGCCTCCTGCGGCCTCCTGTAGCATCCTGTGGCATCCTGATGCCTCGTGGTACGTCCCGTGGCCTCCCGGAGCCTCCTGGAGGCTCCTGCGGCATCCTGAAGAGGATCCGTGCTCACGAGCCTGGCCAGCAAAATAGGCTAACCGCACGAGGCATCCTCAAAATCTGGCACCCCAAATCTGCTCCGAAAGCGGAGGATGTGAAGTTGGTAAACAGGCAAACCTCTCGACACATCCCCGCCATTTTGGCGCGAACGGAAGAGTGTAATACCTCCTGGCGGCTCCCCCCAGGGTGCTGAAACCCGCGCCTTGCTCGAGACAACCTCAGAATCAGTATCACCATCAGCATCAGCATCAGCATCATCATCATCATCATCATCATCATCATCATCATCATCATCATCATCATCATCATCATCATCAGCATCAGCATCAGCATCAGCATCATCATCATCATCATCATCATCATCATCATCATCATCATCATCACCATCACCATCACCATCACCATCCTCATCATCATCATCATCATCATCACCAGCATCATCATCATCATCATCAGCATCATTATATCATTATCATCATCATCATCGTCATCGTCATCATCATCATCATGATCATCCTCAGCATCATCAGCATCATCATCAGTATCAGCATCAGCATCATCATCAGCATCATCAGCAGCATCATCATCAGCATCATCTTCATCATCTTCATCATTATCATACTCATCATCACCATCACCATCACCATCATCATCAGCAGCATCATCAGCATCATCATCATAACGATCATAATCATCATCATCGTCATCATCATCATCGTCCTCATCATCATCATCACCAGCATCGTCTTCATCATCATCTTCATCATCATCATCATACTCATCATCACCATCATCATCATCAGCATCATCAGCATCATCATAACGATCATCTTCATCATCATCGTCATCATCAGCGTCCTCATCATCATCACCATCACCATCACCATCGCCAGCATCATCATTATCAACATCATCATCATCATCATCATCATCATCATCATCATCATCATCATCATCATCACCATCATCGTTATCATCATCATCAGCATCAGCTTCATCAGCATCCTCATAATCAGTTTCATAATCAGTTTCATCATCACCATCATCATCATCATCACCATCATCATCCAGCATCACCAGCTTCTTCATCGTCAGCATCATAACCATCCTCATCATACTCTGGCTGGGATGGGACACAGGAGGAGGAGGGGAGGAGGTGTGAAGAAGGAGTCGGCGCGGTCAGAGTAAGAACAAGAACCCCATCCTTTGGACAGGGGGCACAAATGAACAAACAATCATCCCCAGATCATGCTTTCACGATTCTTGAAGACTCCTCCCGTGGAGGGACCAGCCCGACTTGACCCCGGCCGGCCTTCTTGATGGCGTCCCGCTTCTTCTGCTGGTCCCGGTCCGCCGCCGCGCCGCGCAGGAGGACGCGGAGCTCGTGCACCTCGCCTCGGCGAGCGGGGAGGGCTGAAGGGGCCCTGGGACACACACACACACACACACATAAATAACACAAATAAAAGAATTCCACATATTTTCTCAATTTTTCTGGGTTTTCTCATATTTTCCCATATTTTCCCATATGTTCCTTGGAATCGGCGATTCATTGTGTCTGTGTGTTTGTTTCCCCTCCTGAAGGGCACGCTCTGCAGGCGTCGAAGGCTCGAGGGCGCCAGGGCATCGAGGGGCATCGAGGGGCTCGGCATCGAGGGGCGCGAGGGCATCGAGGGCGTCGAAGGCTCGAGGGCGCGAGGGCACCGAGGGGCATCGAGGGGCTCGAGGGGCCCGAGGGGCCCGAAGGCTCGCGGCAGCGGAGAGCTCGAGGGCAGGGGGATCGCGGGCCGGGCTCGAGCGGCCGGGGGGGTTCAAGGCGGGGGCTGCCTGCCAGACCACCCCCAACCAAACCCGAAGACTCGAATTTTCGGGTTAGGGTTAAGTCGGGCCTGTCCTCCGAAACGCAGATTTGGACGAAATTCAAACAGACCCCCAAATGGTCAAGAAATATTAAAACAGATCCACCCCAGACTATTTGTTCCCTATTTCTGAATGTTCCTCCTGTAGAGGGACACGCCCAACTTCAGGCTAGGGGGGGGGGGGCGGGCTTCATTCACATGTGTGGCTTTTCCGCGCTGCCCGAGCCCCCTCCCCCTGGAAGTGGTGGGCAGATCGGGACCTTCGGGTTGGGACGGGGTGGTGACTTGGTGCGCGGCGAGAGCTGTTGTCTCTGCGTGCTTCCTCTGCTTGCTCCTCCGGCGCCTCCCAGGGCCCGGAAGGGGAGGAGGAAGGGGAGGAGGAGGACGCGGAGGAAGCGGAGGGAGGAGGAGGAGGAGGAGGAGGAGGAGGCAGGCCCCAGCGGTTCGGAGGCCGAGGTTCGAGTGCCGAGCTGTCTCCCCTGGTCACGAGAGTGCGCGCGCCGCCGCCGTGGGGAAGGGCGCCCCGCCAACCCAGGCCGCGCTACGCAAAGCGCGACGACACTCGCGCCCCTGGGGGCGATCTGGTCCTGGTACGTGTCGGCGGCGAGCGAGGGGATAAAGGGAGAAGGAGAAGGCATTCGCGCCTTCTGAGAAGCTCTGTTGGTCTTCGGTGAAGGCTTAGAAACCTTCTCACAAGGCCGGGGGACTTCCGAACCTTCTGAGAAGGCCGTTTCCTTCTCGTTTCCCCCCCTCGCTCGCCGCCGAGCGTGGGTTTGGTCACGGATGCGGGCGGCCTTGGACGCCTCCAGAAGTCTCCGTGGAGGCCTCGTCGAAGGACCTCCCCG